AAAATCCCCTGCCATTCAGCGTACTGACTCACAGGAATTGTGAACGTTCAGGTTTTAATAGATCTCTATTTGCCCGATACGTATCGTTCGCCGAGTGTCCGCCCCAGTATCGAATAAATCCGCATATCCATATCTGAAATAAATTCTACTAGCTGCACAAGCTGTTATTGGACCACCTTAAGAGAGAAAAAGAGAGAGAAATATCGACTTATACAAAATAAATTAAATTCATTCTGCAAATATATTATTGACTCTGAAGTAAAAATAGAATATGGTTAATTTCATATATTAACACAATTTTCTAATTAGTACAATTGATTGTATATAACATACATCTTTTGTAGTTCATTATCTTTTTAATCTATGTGCGTATGTGTGTGTAGAATTATAGTATTCAAAGAGATATAACAAAATATCTCTTCCAAATATTTCAATAAAATTGATACTCCGCTATACGTTCCATGAAACTTTTACCGAATTGACTCGTAAATCAATTAAACCAATTAACGCGCAATTCGAATACACGGTATCGCGCGGATGGGTTTTACTTCATGCGTAACTCGCATTTCGCAGATCGTTCGACGGCACGCGCTTTCACGATTAAATGCGAAGATCTCTGTGCACGCACGTGCGATATGTCAGCGCATGAGGTTACCGAGAGAGCCTATTCACTTTTCAACCGATTTCTATTTATCCCCGGTTAGAACACGGCCAGTCGAGCAGCCGCGAGGTCCCCCATTGTTCGCGGCTACTCTTTTCATCTCGTTGGACACCGCGCGCGGAGTGTCTGGTCGCCATAAATCGCAACGGACGAGCACACGGAATTCTCTGGTGTCGCTTCGCCGACGTCGACTCGCCGCGGGAGAGAAAATCGCCTTTTGTCCCTCGGGACGTTGATAATTACTCATGCAAACGAGCCGTACGAGTCGTCGGCTTACGAGCAGCACGGCCGTTGCAATGTGCGCGAGTACTACGGGGTGTTGCGAAAGCAATGAGCCGCCGCAAAGAGATGGTTCGCCGCGAGCGCGAAACGCTCGAAGAAGCTACCGATACCGATGAATGCGCATGATTGGCTTTGCCGATTATCGGGCGTAACAGAAACGCTAATAAGCGTCGCATTAATTATCCAGTTAACGCTAATAGCCCTTTACGACTCGTTAATGGGCCCGGTTGGTACGACACGCAAGCGTATTTTAAAACTCCCGATTCGCTGCAGCAGTCACATCAACATTGAAGCAAAAAATATGCATAATTTTTTTTCTCGCAGTAACACGAAATAAATAAGTGTTTTATTTTTGCCGATTCATAAGCAAACACAGTTAGAATGTTATAATTATCAGAATCAGCAGAAACTTTAATGCACGCTTGTTGAAAATTTTGGTATGATTTAATTGAAGTTTTCTAAGAAAGCTGTTACCACGTGTTCCTTAGCGACATCCTGTATAATGATGAGCACGTTTTTTCTCGTCTTTCTTCTCTATCTTATATCTGCTAATTAGAATAAACAAGTTGCCGACAGCAAGACCCTTATAAGCGCTTATCGAGCACTCGATTAAGCATCGCGATGCTATCTTCTGTAACAACGAAGAGCCTTTTCTGTTGAAGATCTCGTAAACTCGTTTCGGCGACACGATACGGAATAAGGACGGACGATGACAAGCGCGAGAGAAGGCAGGGCCAAGGACACGTGCCGAGGGGAAGAAAAAGGAACGAGCGGTTCTCTTATTTCTCGAGGCGCGCATGCGAGATATTCGGGCAACGTGTAGTGTCAAGCTGTAACCCTGTAATGTAATTGCTCGATTCGGCCATTATAAAACGATGTATTTTATTGCACCAGGGATGCAGTTGTGAAAATCGTGTTGCTGTCAATGTTCGTCGCGACACATTTTTTTGATTTTTACATGGAGATAATCGGCTCGTGAATTACGCCACGGCGAAGGTGAAGCTATTTTCGAACTTGCTCGATGAAGTCCACAGATCGAGGCAAGATTAAAGATTAATAATAATAAAAAATATAATGCGCGTTGCATGCATGTATACATTATGCAATCGATCCTTTCCGTTCTGCTGGCGAGCATCTCTCTCACCATTTAAGATTTTTCGATCTTTCCAATGCCGTGTAAATTTTTTTTCCGTTTCTTATCTCTTCGATGCGAAAGATTTTTGTCGCGTTAGGCGAACAGTTGCCTCGAGTTTTACGTATAAATTGCACGACGAATCGCACGGCGAATAACAGTTCGAATAAAATAAGAGAATAATAACAATATGTATTTTATTGTTCTTCGTGGTCGAAGGTCCGACGTGAGACGTAAATTTGCTCCCTGCTGTCTTTTGAAGCGATTCGCGTGGGAAAACGAGTCGGAAATATTGAAAATTTTGTGTAGTTCTCAAAAAGGGAGATATTACCATTCAATTTTACGACAAGCACATGATGAATGAGCATTTTTTTTTTATTAGCTCGTCTTTTGTCAGATTAACGTGGCGAAATACAATCATCGCGATACAATCGTGTATAGTGACAATGAAAAATAGTGATGATTTACGCGCGTTATTATAGTAGTTATTATAACGAATGTGTATGGCTTAACCAGTGTCACGCACGCTAGATGCGAGTGACAATTACTCTCAATTATCTGCGCCCAATTACGGAAATTCTGCGAAAGCTGTATCCGAACGATATCGGCGAGCATATCGATTTTGCTCTTTTATTGATAGAAATAAAAATAGCGCCGGCTGCTTGTTTTGCTTTACACTTCGACGTGAAAATAAAATTAGAAACGTGTTGCCGAGGCAATCACCGGCTGCGTGACGTTCTTCGCACGATGTCGTGGAGTCGATGGGTTAGTCTGGATTACGCGTCCGATACGTCCGTCAATGCCGGACCAATTAACCTTCCTTTTTTCGTTCCTGCTCACGATATATCCAATCGGGGGAGATTGAAAGAATGGCTTCTGCGCGGGCTGTGCCACGCACCAAAACGGGTGTGGAATTACGTTGCCTACTTTTTCCCTGGATATTAGGCGCCGGATTAACTGTCGAAGCCGACGAACCACTCGACCTTTTCTCCTTCATTCTGCCGTCTTATCGTGAAATTGCCGAACCCCATGCACCTGTGTCTAACAGACGTTAACTGTACTACAAACGGTCTCGAACAACTTCTCGAACTAAATTCCTTTTTTAATATAGTTTGGCATTTGACAGATTATTAAAATACCACTATGTTGATTATATTTAGATAAATGTACAATCTCATAAAAAAAGAATTGTAAATTATCTGAAATTTTATAGAGAGTGACATGCTTTAATAACGATTTTTATTGATTTGTTGAAGGATATAAATATTTTAAATTATTATTTGTGCAATTTTTTGCATTTATCAATATCTATTTAATATAATCTTGTTTAATCAAACGCACACATGCATAGAATAGAATTTTTAGTAAGCTCAATTTTTATATTCCAGGCAAAAGTATCAAGATTTCAATGGCATGCTTGATGTAGAAGTTTTGGACTTTTTCTCCGGTATGAACAGCGAATGGTATGTATTCTCTTTTATCAAAGCAAATCGGTAATATATTCCAGAAATCCATGATATTTTTCTGTGTAAAGGATTTCAATAAACCGTCAAATTCACTAGTAAACCTTTCCGTATCGTAGAATATTTCCATTTGTTTATTGGGCTTTTCCATTATTCTACCACTATATATATATATATATATGCCAAACAGAGTAACGTTTTCAGATAATATTAAATTGCGGATAGCTGTTAAATATCAAATCAATTTATTTTAAATATAAATTTGCCTTTATCTCTTTTTAAAAATGTTTAAATTATTTTACAAACAAATGTAGCAAAAATTAAACAAAATAAATGTTGAATAGGTTTAAAATTTTACAAAATTGTTTCAAAATTTTGCAAATATTATCTTTATTCAGAAATATTTCGCGAATAAAAAAGATACATTATTTTTATGTTTTTTTTATCAATGCTTCTTATAGTATATCATTTGAAACGTTTAAAATTTGAATGACGCATTAATGTTTCAACGTTGGAAACGGGAGTCATTTATAAAATAAATTTGTTTTACTATTTCATACAAATGATACGCCTGTAAATAGACTATTTCGCTAAAGATACCCAGCTGTGTCGATGTGATCAAACTCACGAATGCTTGCTTACTTAGGTATAGGATTGGCTCCGGCGAATACTCACCATACGGCCATAAACTGGTTATAGGTAGTATACAGTATAATGTATGAGTAAGAGTAATAGTATATGTAAGTTCTTCTCTTCGACGTGAAAATAAAATTAGAAACGTGTTGCCGAGGCAATCACCGGCTGCGTGACGTTCTTCGCACGATGTCGTGGAGTCGATGGGTTAGTCTGGATTACGCGTCCGATACGTCCGTCAATGCCGGACCAATTAACCTTCCTTTTTTCGTTCCTACTCACGATATATCCAATCGGGGGAGATTGAAAGAATGGCTTCTGCGCGGGCTGTGCCACGCACCAAAACGGGTGTGGAATTACGTTGCCTACTTTTTCCCTGGATATTAGGCGCCGGATTAACTGTCGAAGCCGACGAACCACTCGACCTTTTCTCCTTCATTCTGCCGTCTTATCGTGAAATTGCCGAACCCCATGCACCTGTGTCTAACAGACGTTAACTGTACTACAAACGGTCTCGAACAACTTCTCGAACTAAATTCCTTTTTTAATATAGTTTGGCATTTGACAGATTATTAAAATACCACTATGTTGATTATATTTAGATAAATGTACAATCTCATAAAAAAAGAATTGTAAATTATCTGAAATTTTATAGAGAGTGACATGCTTTAATAACGATTTTTATTGATTTGTTGAAGGATATAAATATTTTAAATTATTATTTGTGCAATTTTTTGCATTTATCAATATCTATTTAATATAATCTTGTTTAATCAAACGCACACATGCATAGAATAGAATTTTTAGTAAGCTCAATTTTTATATTCCAGGCAAAAGTATCAAGATTTCAATGGCATGCTTGATGTAGAAGTTTTGGACTTTTTCTCCGGTATGAACAGCGAATGGTATGTATTCTCTTTTATCAAAGCAAATCGGTAATATATTCCAGAAATCCATGATATTTTTCTGTGTAAAGGATTTCAATAAACCGTCAAATTCACTAGTAAACCTTTCCGTATCGTAGAATATTTCCATTTGTTTATTGGGCTTTTCCATTATTCTACCACTATATATATATATATATATGCCAAACAGAGTAACGTTTTCAGATAATCAAAAACTCACGAATGAATAGGACAGCTGACATCTTTTCTTAGCCCTTTTGAATCGTCGGGAAATAGGTCTGTACCATTTCTGACGTCGGCAGAATTTTATCGGCGATCTGTTATGACAGTTGAGCGATCGCATAATAAGTTTTATCGATCGAGCTGGACATTAGCGTTTATCTCGATTGCGGTAGCCATGGGCTAGCAAAGGAAGGATGAAGGAAGAAATGGGGAGGTAGGAGGCGGGGGGGGGGGATTATTCATTATACACCTGGCCTTCTTTGGTCTTCGTTTGCATACGATTTGAGGAATACGTATACATGTATTATTCTTCAATATGCGTTCTTTCTTTCTCGTCTCCCTGCCGACAGGAACACATGGCATTTTTATGCAAATATCGTCTCTCCTGACGACTCTTTAAAGCCAGTTCGACCGGTCGAAGTTCGGAATACGTATATACTCACCTATACGCGCGTTTTGTTTTACGAGCCTTTCGTAATACGCGCTGTTAATATTTGTCGTGCTAGCGCTCGGTATTAAAGTGGCCACGGTTGACCGACCAGTTTATAGTCGGTATTTAAATATATGCGTCGCGTCGTGCCGTGTATACACGCACCTCTCGCGAAAAGATGTCATTACTTCGACGTTTCAAGTCGACATACTTCAACGCCTCGTTAAGAATCAATGCCCATTTGCAAGATATCAATAAATTTTCATGAAGCTTAATATAGTTCAAAATATACATTGCTCCGGGTAATTATCATGCTTAATTTATAAATACAAATGATTGTAACTCTTACAGTAGTACCAGTTATTTTTACATTATATGTATATCCTTGAATCGTGTTTTATATTTTTGTGTACATGTTCATATCTTTAGATGCATAATATTGTATAACTGACAATGATGAAAAAAAATTTAATTAATTATTTAAATAATCATTACATTTCTTTAATAATCGCGAAGAAGCAAAGAACATCAAAAATCTCTCTTTTCAGAAGAAAAATATATTTGATAATGAATGTAGAGATACTTTTTATATTAATTGAGTATAAGATTAATGCTGATAAAATGTTATTTGGCTTTCACTGTGGCAAAACGATTCGCTTAACAAGTTCCATCGCCAAGGATAAATGGGCGCACCGCGCGATGGAGAGACGTTTTTCAGCATTCACGTGTAGAGAAGTTGAAAACCCATTACCGCCCTGCATGAAATGAGTTACGGCTACTTAGAGGCGCCTCCGACAGGGAATTCGTGTTGCAGATACGAAACTGGATTTGGCCACTTCCCTTGGCTTTCTGCTCCGTTCCCGCACGAATCTCCGTCGAATCTCTCGTTCCCTCTCGTTCCCTCCTTCCTTTCTTCGTATCGTACTTAAGTAGTTTTGTCTACGTTCCGCTTACCGACCAAATTCACGTGTCTTGAGCGCGGGCCGAGAAAGAGAGAAAGAGAGAGAGAATTATCGTGCGCGCGACCGCACGGTAAACTGCGGAATAAATTCACGAAAAGACGAATACGTCTGCCAAGGAAGAACGAAACGAGTGTCACTCTCGCGAACCGGCTTTTCTACGTGGAGCAATAAATCCTGGTCCCGTATTGTTGAGCGTGTTCCTGATTTCATTCCAGTTTCGGGCCACGAATGTGCGCTGTAGATAGGGAAGGACGAGAAAATAAATTAAAGACGTGCCTTTTAAAACGACTGGTCTACTGAATATGCAAATATATGTTGATTCGAGAAATTTTTAGGCACATGACATAATGATGATGATGATAACGATGATGGGAAATAGCCCACTCGTGGCGATAGAATATTAAGGGACCCACCTGAGAAACCCTATAATCTTGTGAGAACGCCAAGGTTTTAAAGATGCTCATTCTCACGAAAGGATCGATTTAACTGCCGGACGGTAGTGATTATATCTAATTTCGTCGGAGACTGATTTCAGACTAATGCAGAGCAATCACGTATCCGTCGATAATTCCACGCTCTTTGTGTTAAATCAAATTACAGTCATTTCGCGTGCACATCGTTCGAATTATTACGTCTCGAAAAAAAAAACGATGTTTTTAAAATTTCTTTCCACTTAATATATTCGTCTTTAAATTGAAAATGGACCTTGTTGCGCGATAAGGTGTATACAAATAAATGATACTTTCACAGGCTGGCTGATAATTCGAAAAATAAATCAGTCGAAGATACGATAGTTACATGCAGTTAAGATACATGTGAGCGCCATCGTCATAAATTTTAATCGTCGACTGCAAAGGCGTTACACAAACATTAATTATCATGCAAACGATTGACACGAAAATAAAGTTAGCTGCTTTTTTAGCCTTTGAAGATAGGGGATAGCCGAGTGGTCAATTTAAATGCATCTATAATGCGTTTCAAGTTTTTGAGGAAAAAGAAAATTAATAGAAATCTATTGATATATTATTTTTTTGTTTATGTGCTGTAACATATATAATTGCAATATTGTTTGACATCGCGAATGATAAGATTACACAAAAATTTCTTTAAAATATCTGTAGAATAATTAAAAGAAAGCTGTCTGTAAAATCCTTTACATAAAAATACTGTGTAAATTAATATTTATCTACTTTACTTAGATTTATTTATATAGATATACAAGCTTTTCGCCATCGCAATTTTACCATGTACTTTGCAAAATGTTAGGAATAAATCGCTAGATAGATAAAACGGGCTATTACAGAGTCATGCAAAACGAGATAATAGAATTGGTTATTAAATTACACGTAAATAAATTTCAATTATATCGCGGGTGCGTACATTCGTTCAGCCGACGCGTAAAGTAATTATTCTGTATTAAAAAATTGCAACTGTCGTTAAATAAATATCGCGGAAAATGGAAATGACCATGCACACGCTCTGCTAAATCAGAGCATTCTTCTTTATTATGGGGTAAGCTCGCTGCTTTTTTAATAACGTGCAGCGTGCATTGAAAGTTAAATGATGCGCGGGGCAATTAAAAATTTGCGTGCAATGTCGTTGTCGGAGAGAGCGCTAGTGATTTTCGGATTATATTCAGTAAATATAACGTATCGAATTTCAATTTTTCCACTCGCTTTTAAGCGACATCCCATTGCACTTTACAAACGGGACATATCGCGCGAGAATTCTTAGTATCTACGTGGCCGCCCTCTGCTCTTTCCTAAGGTTTATGCATATTCGGAAAGTGCACTCTGCATATAAATGCGTTCCCGAGCTATTTGAAAGACGGCGTTTAAGGGCGGCAGCGGCGACGAGGGGCAAGGAGTATCACGTCCATCGAGACATTTTTCGCGGTAGCTCTCCCTTCGCTCGCATTTATATGTTTATATACCCGGTGCTTCGTATTTATACATAGACATCTTTCGTCCCGACGAAACGCTCCCGAGGATTATAAAGCTCACGAAATATTTTCGGGCCACGACCGTCATAACTCAAGCGCCGCTCATTTTGCTCTCTTTCTCGCTCCGTCGCTTCGCACGGATGAGAGAACTACCACCGACGGAGTTTCGCCAATGTCGGAGAAAAGAGCAGAACGGGGGAGTATTCACGAAATACGACTACGTATGTATTTGTCTCGCGCCGTGCGTGGAGGTTGATAAATGTATCTATTAGTTGCCGCGAGTTGCATTGTTATGTGGCAATCGATTGTGCAGTGAGTAAAAAAGAGATTCGTTGAAATGCGTCTGCACCAATTGGTACGAAGCGACTGGAATGAATGAAAATCGTTTCAAACTTTCAAGCGATTCGCATTTACTTTTATTTGAGCAATCGAAAAGTTATAATGGTATTTTAAACACATGCGTGAATTCTGCGAAAAGAAAATAGGTTTTATTATATTTTTCTCTCTAAGATTTTACATTTTATACTCGTCGTTTTGATTTCTCCAAATAGATTTTACGCACCATTGTGAAATTAAACATGTTTTATGTGGAAGCAATGTTGCGGGAAATTTACTATCTAGTTTATATATTGGTGAAGCAATATTGCGCGCGTAATACAATAGGAATCAGTATCGCCGGAAGTCCCGGGGGCAAACGCAGTTAAACGAATCTGTAACGCTATAGCGCAATCGTAGTGCTGCAACAAATGGGGCTTGCGGTATAACGAATATAATCAGGCACCGTGTACAATGTATCTCGGACGGGGATTAAAGTAAGCGCCTCGAACCTGGTTTGGTTAAATAAGCGACAAGGTAATTTTAATCCGCTACGCTCATGCGAATTTAATGCCAAGGAGCGCGTGAACAATACTCGCACGGTTTGCGGTGTGATTAATTAGATTAAATTACAGGCCCCGTCATCGATAATATCTCGCAGATAAGGATCGAATGACGACGAATGGGCAAGCGCGGGTCGGAAGGTTGGCGCGGTTCCCGTAAGTCACTGAATGAAGAACAGAGGACGGGAATAATTCTTCTTTTTTCCCCTCACACTCCTCGCACTTCCTCCTCGTCGTGAATGTCATAAAAGTCTTCATACGTGAAACTATTTCTGCCGGTGACAACTAAGTATCCGTTCTGGTGCGCGCGAAGATATACTATCCTTTTAGCTCTCGTCGGTATCTCGGTGAATCGGTATGGCAAATAATCAAGCACGTGTATTTCGTCTATAAATAACAATTCGAAAAATATTTTCGCATCCGTCGCAGCCTCTTGTCGTAAGATATGATAATTAGTCGGATTTTCGAGAGCGTATCGGCCGCTTGTTGAAATTTATTCCCTCCCGTCGGGATTTTGCAAAGTATATGTACACGGACATGAGAAAAGTCACGACGACATAACACAA